ACCTCTCCCACCTGAATCTAATAAATCAGTTTCCTATATCTCTTGATTTTACGATTTGATTTTATAAGTTAAAATAACACTAAATGTGGATTATTATTAAACTAAGGATAAAAACGACGCAAAAAATAAAGAAAAAGGCGACAAAAAATGGAAGATAAATAAGAGAAGACAAAAAATGCGACTTAAAAAACGAAGCGTAAAGGGAGAAAAAAGACGATAAAAATAAAATCTTAAGAAAAATGAGATTAAAAAAAAAGGGCGATAAAAACGGGCAAAAGGTCCAGCATCCACACAGTGCACAAAAAATGCAAAAAACACAAAGATGCAAAAAGACTCCATAAAAAATGCAACAAAAAAAAAAGAAGTCAAACAAGCTAGAAAAAAGGCCACCAATAACTAGTGTGAGGAAAAAAGCCACAAAAACGCGTAAAAAAAAAAGGATGAACAGCCCACAAAAATGTAAAACAACGACTATAAAAACGCGACAAAAAAGTCACAAAAATGTGATGAAAAAAGGAAAGAAAAAACATAAGGAGGACAAAAAGACAGAAAAACATGACAAAAAAGAAAAGGAATGAAAGAAAATGCGAGAGAAAAGGTCTTAAAAAAAAGTAAACAAGAAAAGCACCAAAAATAAAACGACTGAAAACATGTGGAAAAAGTGGGGAAAGAAAGCAAGCAAAAAACCCGCAAAAGATACAACAAAAAAATACTCTAATACTGTTTAGACAGAACTTTCTTCGCCCCTTCAATACAATCAAGCAAATTGGATAATTCAGAAAATTTGACTTTATGATTTTTTAATGAAAACCTCTGAAAGTTAAAAATAAAATCAAATGTGTTAAACTGCAGACATGCTATGAGTACATTTCAAGTGATTTTTAATAATAAATTTTTTAATCAGTAATAACTATCAACTATTTAGCACGAATAAAAAACGGGACAAAAATTATGAGGGCAAAAATTGCGCCAAAAAAGGGAGACGAAGCGACAAAGGGCACCAAAAAAAAATGCGACTTAAAAACGCAAAAAGGGAAAGCAAAATGACGATAAAAATAAAGGCAAAAAATCGAGGAAAATGCGATTTAAAGAAAAGAGCTGTTTAAAAAAGGGCAAAAGACGCACAAGAAATGTGTCCAAAGTTGTTTCGACAGAACTTCCCTCGCCCCTGAAATACAATAAAACAAATCCAGCTTCTTCAACAAATTATAAAATTTGATTATACGAAAAGAGGGAGTTAAATGTGAGAAAACAGGGCACAAAAAATGCGACTAAAAAAGGAAGAGAAAAAAAGACGATGAAAATAATATCTTATTAAAAATGCAATTTAAAAAAAAAGCGACTAAAAAGGACAAAAGATCCAACATCTATAAAGAAACGACAAAAATGCGACGAAAGTTACATCAACAAAGGCCCACAAAAAATGCAAAAAAACACAAAGACACAAAAAAAAACTGCACAAAACTTCTGTTAACAAAAAGAGAATCAAACAAGTATAAAAAATACTACCAATAAAAAGTGTGCGGAAAAAAGCCACAAAAAGACGACAAAAAGTCCACAAAAATGTGGCGAAAAAAGGGAACAAAAAAAACACAAGGAGGACAAAAAGACAGAAAAATATGGCAAAAACAAAAGGGAATGAAAGAAAATGCGAGAAAAACGGAGTAAAAAAAGACAAAAAATCCGTCTAAAACAAAATGATTGAAAAAAATGTGGAAAAAAAGGCAACCAAAAAAAGTCGCAAAAGATGCAAGAAAAAATTGGTCTAATGTTATTTAGACAGAACTTCTCTCGAACTTTAAATACAATCTAGCAAATCTAGTTTCTTGGATAAATTAGAAAATTCGACTTTGCGATTTTTTTAAAGAAAACGTCTAAGTTAAAATTAAAATCAAATTTGGACTTTCAAACTACAGACATGGTCATGGACATAATAAGATGGGACAAAAAAATGCGCCAAAAAAGAGACTGAGGAAATCAATTAAAAAAAACTAAAAATAATGTACAAAAAAATGCAATGAAAAGGAAACGAAAAATCACGAATCAAACACGGGACAAAAATCACGCGATAAAAAGAGGGCGAAAAATGCGCCAAAAAAAAAGAAAGACGAAGCAACAAAGGACACCAAAAACAACGACCTAAAAATGCGGTAAAAAGTGAGACAAAAAGGACGATAAAAATAAAGGCAAAAAATTCGACAAAAAATTCGATCTAAAAAAAGCGCTGTTAAAAAAAAGACAAAAGAAGCAAAAAATGACCCAAAAAAAAAACAGAGTGGAACAAACCTATAAAAATGCCACCAATAAAATGTGCGATAAAAAAAAGAGAACAAAAAATGCGCCAAAAAAAAAAAAAAGAAAGACGAAGCAACAAAGGACACCAAAAACGACGACCTAAACAAAAAGGACAATAAAAATAAAGGGAAAAAATTAGACGAAAAATTCGATCTAAAAAAAAGGGCTATTAAAAAAGGACAAAAGAAGCAAAAAAATAACCCAAAAAAACGGAGTCGAACAAACTTATAAAAATGCCACCAATAAAATGTGCGATAAAAAAGAGGGCGAAAAATGCGTCAAAAAGAAAACAAGAAAGACGAAGCAACAAGGACACCAAAAACGACGACCTAAAAATGCGGCAAAAAGTGAGACAAAAAGGACGATAAAAATAAAAGCAAAAAATTCGATCCAAAAAAAGGGCTGTTAAAAAGAAGGACAAAAGAAGCAAAAAAACGGAGTCGAACAAATCTATTAAAAATGCCAAAAACTGCGATGAGAGAAAATCAACCAAAGAACCCAACATTGAGGACAAAAAACAGTAAAATATAACAAAAAGAAAGGAAATCAAGGAAAAAGGAGACAAAAAGCACAAAAAAAAAACAACCGAAGAAAAAGCAAAAAAAGGCAACCAAAAAAGGTCGCAAAAATACAACGAAAAAATTGGTTTCTAGTTATTTAGACAGAACTTCCCTCGTCCCTGAAATACTGTCTACACAATACAATACATTCCCCCATCTTTAAAAATTATAACAATTATTATCTGTCTAATAACATTGACACAGACACACTGAAACGCGAGACCTACTTTTTCATACACTAGAGATCATGAAACGATGGGAAAACCTGAAAGTAGCCACATGTCGGGTGGACCCTATTACCTCCTTAGCTTACCTTCGAGAAGTAAAAAGGAAGTCTGCACTTTCGTATTCTATGAATTTTGTATGTTCATCAAAAGAAAATTACCAACTTAGGTACAATGAAAATAAATGGTCGTGTATTGGATATACACACAAGTAGACGTGCTTGAAAGTTGAATGAAATTTAAAAATATAAAAAACGGAAAAGGGGAAAACAATCAGTAGTAGGGCTTTTCGGGCCGTACATATTTTTTTAAGAGATCGCGCAAGTCGTCGAAATTTGCAATCTGCTACTTAAATAATTACATAAACAGTTTCTTACAAAAAAATTTAAATTATTACAAAAAACACAAATTCAGTCGTCACAAAAATTAAAAGCTAAAGCTACGCGTTTTTTTTTTCAAATTTTGAATTTTAGTTTTAGATACATTATTATTTTATACTAGTCGATTTCAAAATTCTTAGCACATTTTTGAAAATTTCACCATTTTCTACACTCAAGAAAGGCATAATGTAAAATTTCGGTAACCTGTAAGACGATCACATAAATTTTCTATCCATGTTTTTCGATTACATCGAAAATAAAAAAAAATCCAAATTTGATATTACATTGCCATTTATGAATCGTTAAAAACTACAAATTGAAAAAGACAAGTAATACTGTTATAAGTTTGTCTAAATATATTGAAAAATTTTGTATATTTCAGGTGTTCTACAGTTCCGTCACACTACTATTCCAAAAATTTGGAATTTTTTCTATACTTTTTGTGAAAAAAGAAAATACATACATACATACAAAAAAAAAATCGAAAGGAGTGTGTAGAAATTAGGTTACAAGTGTCGATTTTTTCGAACCACAAAACTTTCTTTTTAATTCATTATCTCCACTTCCGCAAAATTCGAGTAGTAATTAAGAATTATCTTCTCAAGTTTCAAGACCACATGAGTCATTTTATTTATAATGAAGAACATAATACGCTTAATCCCGTCCTTCGAAAGTCTGCAGCACACTACCTAAATTGCTTCTCTCGATTCAAACGTTTAACCTTTGCTTTAAGAAAGTTCAATCAAGTCTCATAGATGCTTATTAAAATCACCACTACTCAATAATAAGTGCAGCTACAATTCTGTGCTCTTATATGGTCTTCGTGAAACGACATAATTACAGCTTCGCAAATCGTACCCATTCACATAAATGGTAACTATTTATCCGCGAATCGAAGAAGTAGCAAAATCTCAAGCAAACCGTTAACAGACCGCCGTTGCCCCATAAACCCATTCGTCATAAACTCGCCATGAACACAAATTACAACGAAATAATTAAAAACATGCGTAAACAATCCAATACTCGTCCGCATTCATACACAGGAAATCAATTCCGCTTGCGTCAATTAAATTCAATTTTTATGGTAATAGAAACCCAATTGTGGCAAAAAAGCATTTAATGACTCGCTTGTTATAACATCGAAGAAAATACGATTTATTTTGGTTTCGTGCAACACCCCTCGAGCTGCCGCATCGGGCTAACAGTACAATTTTTTTTCCGCTAATTCCCAAATTAAGACATCCGAAATTGTTAAACGCGTCGTTTGCATATTAATGTGTAAAAGTTCCCGTTAACCGTAAAACGCTTATCATGCACTCGACTCGAGTGACATTTAAGTGGATCACTTCGAGTCGCAATATTTTTAAAAACACTCCGAAAAAATAAAATTCGATTCGTACATCTGCGCACCCCTCATATTTCTGCATTACCGAAAATTACATTACTGTTGACGTTCCTCTCACTCGGGTCTATAAAAAAACGCTAAATGATTTATATATCGTCGCTAAAACGAGAGATAAACCAGACGCAACAGTACTTACCCTATCCGTAATCCTTTCTTCAGTCTTTCCTCTTTTCAGCGATGGAGCTCTGATGACTTTTCCGCCGAAATCCTCCATTGAAATTACACTAAACACGCTTGAATCACTCGCACACACACTCGGTCAACGAGAAAATCGACACATCTTATTTTTATTATTTTGATTCATTTCAGCTATTGATATGATATGATCTGGTGATTAGATTACCCCCACCGAGAGTCCATTTGTGGCATCTGCAACAAAAAATCCTTTTCGTTATCTTAATCCAACAGTGTATTGTTTGAACGGTCTAGGCCAGAGGTTAAGAAACTGGGGGAAGGACAAGCGCGAAAGGTTTTTTAAAATTAAGGAAAAACGTCACTCAGACATTTGTTTCCAATAATAAGCAACATGCAAAAATACGATAAGGGCCAGTCATGTATCAGTTAGTTGCCGTCGTGTTAAGATCTTTCCAAATCGCGCGTCTCAAACTCACGATCGCGGCCGTGATAGGATTGAAAGAACACTGCAAGCTGAAGAACAAATTTCGGAAAGCGTCGAAGAAGAGCCCGACATCAGCACTCGCCGACTTGCTGCTGAAGTTATAGTTTCAGAGTTTGTCGTGTATTGTACATCAAAAGAACGAAACTTACATCCACACCACGTTCAAAAAGTGCAAGCTTTGGAGCCCGCTGATTTTTTAACCTCTATAAAGTAAAAATCAGCGGAATAAATACTCATTTAGTTCCCTTGAGATTTTTTCGAATAACAATCACTTTTTATTGATGGACGATTTCAATACTCCTTGTCCCAATGCAATTCAGTTATTGATTGTAACAATCATCTTCTGGACTTAGTTTTTTCCAATCTTAATTATTGTCCGGTTGATAAAGCCTTCTCTTCATTAGTCGAAGATCTACATCATCTTTCTCTGACTATAAATCTGAACAAAATCTCTTTACCAACAACTTTTGGCGGTTGATTGGGGTTTTAAAAATAATATTGTTGTGGAATGTTCCAAATTTTACTATATTATGTACAGTTTATTTGACTCAATCGTGCCTAAATATTCTCTCTCAAAACTCCGTCGCCAATATTACCCTCCTTGGTTTACTAGTGACGTCATTCATTCTATTCGATTAAAAAATTGTGCTTTTAAAAAATACAAGAAGAGTGGATGTTCACGATTTTATGACTCATTTAAACGTCTTCGTTTCAAGTCTAAAGCACTTATTAATTTTCACTACAAAAAATATTTATCCGACTTAGAACAATCCATTTCGGTTGATTCCAAAAAGTTCTGTAGCTTTATTCAAAGCAAAAAACGAACATCTAGAATTTCCGGTTATCTGATCCATCTGAAATTGTTGACGCTTTTGCTGACTTCTTCGATAGTGTGTTTATTGCTTGCTTCTAAACCTATGGAGTATTTTCAGCTCATTTTTGACATTAATTCCAATATTTCTATTCCATCGTGCCAAATTACTGTTAAAGATGTTCTGATAAATTTTAAAAAATCCAAGGATTCTTTCACAATGGGTATTGATGGAATTCCCTCTTTCTTACTTAAAGACTGTGCGCAGATTCTTGGTGAGCCACTTTGAATTATATTTAATTTAATAATAATGAAATCCGTCTTTCCTTCACTTTCGAAAAAAGGTTATATTTGTCCCATTTTTAAGAAAGGGCAGCAGGATGAGGGGACAAATTATAGAGGTATTTCGATACCTAGAGCTATTCGAGAGAGCTATTCGAACTATCGCAGACCTTAGATCCTATAGCAGTTGCAGAACATTCTTTAAAAGATTGAATATAATGACGGTTCCAGGCATCTACATATACAGCCTCATAATTCATACTATACATAATATTGATGCATATAAGCCATTAAATAACAACCACACTTATAAAACAAGAAATGGAAGCAAATTAGAAATTCCCCTGCATAAGACAGCACTCTATAAAAATAGTCCACATTATCTATCTATATGCTGTTATAATAAATTATATGATCACTTGAAGAATATAAATCAAGATAAACAAAAACATTATATAAAAAAGTTACTGATTGAAAATGAGTACTACTCGTTAGAAGAATTTCTTAATGACCCAACATTGTAATCTGAACTTATGTCTGCATATTTGTATGTATATGTATATGTATGTACTTATTTGTGATTTTAATGTTTAACCTGTAATTGACTTGTTCTATACATTTATATATGTCTTAAGAGAACTAATAATAAACTTTACTTTACTTTACTTTACTTTACCTTATAACTTTGCTAAGGTTTTCGAATCAATTTTGTGTTATCACATTTACCCATCGACGAAGTTATTGATTTCATCTAGTCAGCATGATTTTGTGCAGAAAGAATCAACCATTACAAATTCAGCTGTATTTTCCCAATATATATCGGAAGTAATTGATGGTAATGGACAATGTGATGTGATATATACTGATTTTGAAAAGGCTTTCGATAAAATAGATCACTGTTTATTACTGCAAAAGCTCTGTAATATTGGCTTCACAAATCCGCTATTGAAACTTTTAATCTCTTATCTAATCGGTAGAATCTCATTTGTGAAGTACATAAATTTTAGTTCTAAACCATTTACTACATCTTATGGGGTCCCACAGAGATTGAACTTAGGACCTTTGTTGTTTTTGCTCTTTATTAACGATCTTCCTGATGCTATTCGCTGCAATAAACTTATGTTGGCTGATGATTTCAAATTATACATGGAAATTAATTCTATCAATGATTGTTACTATCTTCAGTTTTGCTTAATTTTGCTTTACTATTGGTGTATTCGAAATAGATTAGTGTTGAATATCTCTAAATGCAAAGTTTTCTTATACAAGAAAACTCATCAACATTGTTTTTGAGTATACTTTAAAAGGAGTCGTATTGGAAAAATTTACCAAGTACCAAGGGGTGACGACGAAAACTCACTCGCACAGCCAGAGAATACTTACAGAAAAATCAAAAAAACATACAAAAAAAAGTCGGGACGGCAGACAGACGAAGAGACGGAAACGGGAGACCCAAGGTTGAGAAAATGTGAAAGTGGAGAGTCGGCCGACGGACTTCATTACAATACTTCCTAACATTTTACCTTTTTTTCTTAATATACACAACCATTTTTTATAACAAGAAACATAAAACATGGTTAAAATGGTTCATGCAAGGAAATATGGGTTTTGCAATTATGGGGTGGATCCTAATTGCAAAATAGATAATCCATATATAAATTTTCCATTTTAAACATATTTTTACTTTCATGTTGTGAAAAGAAGTCTACACATACTAAAACAAAATGGCAAAATCTAAACCCCGCATACCCGCCCCACCGCAATTGTGATGATCTTTTTTATTCTTAGAAACTTAAAACACGTTTAAAATGGTACATTTTTGTAAGAAAATATGGATTTTGCAATTAGGCTCCGCCCCCAAGTCTGCCAACGAATGAAAACTTCATTACTATTTAGATCAGGGCAGTTATGGGTGGGGCTTAATCTTTGACTTTACTTTTTTCTTAATGTACATAGTGTCCTTTGAATAACACGATACTCAAAAAAACGTCTTACATGGTAATTAATTGTAGAGAGAGGAATAATAAGAATTTCGCATTTAAATTCCGCTCCATTGACCCTCGACGATTATACAAAAATCATCACAATTCAGATAGGGCGGGTGGGCGGGGCTTATATTTTGCTTTTTTTCTTAATATACGTATTGTCTTTTCAGAACAAGAAACTTAAAATATGTTTAAAATGGTAAATTCTTGTAGACAAATAGCGATCTTGTAATTAAGCCCCGCCCCTCGATCTGGCAACGAATAAAAATTCATCACAATTGAGAATTGAGATCGAGGCAGGTATGGGTGGGGCCTAATCTCCGGCTTAATATTTTTCTTAATATACATGGTATTCTTTGAGCAATACGATACTCAAAAACATGTTTTTACTTTCTCGTAGAGAAATAAGGATTTTGCAGTTAAGCTACGTCCCCTTGGCTCACGACGAATATAAAAAAAAAATCCCAATTGAGATAGGGCGGGTGGGCGGGGCTTATATTTTGTCTTGTTTCTTAATATACGTAGTTATCTTTTCAGAACATGAAACTTAAAACATGTTTATATGGTAAATTCTTGAAGACAAATATCGATCTCGTAATTAAGCCCCGCCCCTCGATCTGGCAACGAATGAAAAATTCATCACAGTTGAGAATTGACATTGGGGCGGGTATGGGTGGGGCCTAATCTTCGGCTTTATTTTTTTCTTAATATACATAGTATTCTTTGAACACAATACTCAAAAACATGTTTTTAATGTCTCGTAAGGAAATAAGGATTTTGTAGTTAAGCTCTGTCCCCTTGGCTCACGACAAATAAAAACAATCATCCCAATTGAGATTGGGCGGGTGGGCGGGGCTACATTTTGCCTTTTTTTTTCTTAGTATGTGTAGACTTATTTCGACAACAAGAAACTTAAAACATATCTAAAATGGTAATTTTTTGTAGAAATCAACTTTTCCTCTACAACCTCTTTAAACACGACAAAAGTTGAATCAACGTTACTATCAACGGAAACTTGGCAACGGAATTTATAAATGACAATTTTTAGCTCTAAACGCAACGTTAGCGTGACAGCAACTGCAACGGTAAGTTTATAAATACTACTACTAACATCATCAAAAAAAGATGTTCATAGAATAGTTCCAAATCTGACAAAAATCTTCGATGAATTTTCTGCAGAGGACATAATTTTGGAAGTTTTACGACTGAGGGGCCACTTATATTTGGCCTTTTTTTAAAATATATTTCTTTACGAAAATGTACCATTCTGACCATGTTTTCAGTTTCTTGTTCTAGAAAGAAGATTACGAATATTAAGAAAGAAACAAAAAGCAAAAGACAAGCCCCGCCCACCCACCCCACCTCAATTGTGATGATTTTATTTATTCGTCGTGAGTCAGGGGTCGGAATTTAATTCGAAAATCTGTATTTCCCTACAAAATTTTACCATTTTGAACTTGTTTTGAGTTTCTTGTTACGAAAAGAAAATTACGTATACTAAAAAAATAGCAAAATATGTATAAGCCTCGCCCATGCATAGAAAAAAAATCATCATTTTGTTTTGTTCTCCTTACAGTACGTAGTTTTCTTTTCACAACCAAAGACTTAAAACTTTATTAAATTGGTAAATTTTTTAAGTATATATGGATTTTGCAATTACGCTCCGCCCCTT